TGTTATCACCAACAACATTTATGAAAACGAGCCCAAAATAGCCCATCTCGTTTAATGCAGAAGTAATGTTACGACGGAGATCATTGCAATGATAAGCGTTTCGTAGAAGACACTTCTTAAACTGCCAAATAACACCAACAGATCCACGACTGTAATGTGTTATTTAATTCACTAATAATTCAGTAAATGCTTGTCGGTTTCTTTGTTTTTTGTATCATGGCATTTTTTTTGGCACAACCATTGAACCATAGGTCATAACCAGTCATGGGTCCAAGTAAATGAACATTTAAGTTTGAAACCACAAATACATTATACATAACTAAACACATCCACACTATTAGTATTTTTTTTAGTTGACACACTATTAATTTTTATTACTTTTGAAAAAACTTAAATTTGAATTGTGAAACAAACTACTAAGAAATAAAGCTGGGAATCTAATAACTACAACAAAAAGTTTTAGATATAAGAAGGTCATTTGAGATTAATGTTTATAAAACAGTATTGATTCACATTTTATCAAAAAGAAAAATAATATTGATTCATTGAACCCATGTTCAAGTGCAAAAATATGTAGCATGTAATGATCTAGAATCAATCCATGAGGAAATATATTAACGGGTTCTTGGAATTCAAACTAGGTAAAACAAAGGATGTTTTGAAGATTTTCAGTACCAAGACCTAAAATAATATTTTTTAAAATATTGCAATTATACATTCGATAAAAAAAAAAATTGCAATTATATAAAGTATTATCAAATATATACATGTAATTGCAGTATTATTAGTTCTCCATTTAAGATTTTAGATCTCATTTAAATAGTGGTTTGCATTATGAAACTATCGTTTAGAATTAGAGTGTATATATTTCGAAATCGATTGCATCCACATAATCAAGATGATATAAGAAAACTATATAGTATATTCATAAGGGGTTTACATATTTTACCCAAGAAAAAGGGGTTTATATAATACTGAAATAAAAAAAAAGCTATTGGCAAAGTTAAGGGGTTACGTAGAATAAATCATTGTTTATGGGGTGATTTTAGAAATAAATTGTTATAAGCTTTTGCTTTGCCCTTCCCCACCCGGCCACCCGCTCCTTGCTTATATTCGAAAATTCATCTCTCAGTCTCCTCATTATCTCTGCCTCCTTCCACATAGTAGTCTACTTTTTTTCTCTCTGCAAGTCTAGGGTTTTTCTGATCCACCAGAGGTTTTTCCCCTACTTCGAGCGCCGTCTTGGAGAAGCTTTTTCTCCATAGAGTTTGCAGTGAGAGGGACACGGGTTTTGGATTGAAGCGAAAAACCCTAGCGCTTACCCGTTTTCTCAAGCGAAAAATCCTTAATTTCCATGTAAGTCTATTGCTCGTACTGTGTATTGAGTTCTGGATTTGCATATCTGTTACTGGATCTATGATTTCTGACTAGGTTTTGGGTCACTACTATTGCTAGGGTTTTTTTAAAAATTTTTGTTCTTTACTCGCTCGCTGTGATTCTGATTCTGCCACTTATTTTTTCTTCCTTCTTTGAAATCTTCTGTGCAAGTAGAACTGGTGTGCTTCACGATTAGGGCATAAGCTCTTTTCCAAGTTCAATGAAATTGTTGAGTCGTTCGGATTTTTATACTGGGATTTGTTTGTAGTGATTTTGTTGTTAATTACTCAGAGCAGAGATTCTCCTATGGTTTTCTCTGAGTATAGATATTAATTTAAGTTTGCTCTTGTTTGCGCTCTCTGATTTGAACCTGTGGACGGTTTGAATAGTATTATTGCCTTGTATAATTTTACCATTACTTTGTTCAGTAGCTTTTACTTTTGTTTGAATTGTGCGGGATTTGGTTCTATTTGACTACTGTTTTGTCGCTGATGCTGGTGTATGTCTTTATTGTGCAGAGAGAGGTATGGCTATGGAGATCACACAGTTCCTACTGGCTGCCCAGTCAGCTGATGCAAGAGTCCGTACCGAAGCAGAGGCTAGTCTCAGGCAGTTCCAAGAACAAAACTTGCCGCTGTTCTTATTATCCTTGTCTTTTGAGCTTGAGAACAATGATAAACCGGCTGAATCCCGTCGACTTGCTGGTATTCTGCTAAAGAATTCTCTTGACGCCAAAGATTCTGCCAGAAAAGATCATCTGGTGAAACAATGGTTTGCAATTGATGTTGCTCTTAAATCCCAGATCAAGGATCGGTTACTAAAAACTCTTGGCTCATCTGCCCTAGAGGCGAGGCATACTTCAGCTCAGGTTATTGCAAAGGTAGCCTCCATTGAAATTCCTCAGAAGCAGTGGCCTGAACTTGTTGGCTCGCTGCTTAACAATATGACCCAGCAAGGCAGTCCCGCACACTTGAAGCAATCAACGTTAGAAACTCTAGGCTATGTCTGTGAAGAGATATCACACCATGATCTTGTGCAAGATGAAGTGAATTCCGTCCTCACAGCAGTTGTGCAGGGCATGAACCAGTCTGAAAATACTGCAGAAGTTCGCCTCGCAGCAACAAAGGCACTGTTGAATGCCCTGGATTTCTCTCAGACAAATTTTGAGAATGAAATGGAGAGGAATTACATCATGAAGATGGTATGCGAGACAGCATGTTCCAAGGAGGCAGAGATCAGACAAGCTGCTTTCGAGTGCCTTGTGTCTATTGCGTCCACATACTACGAGGTGCTGGAGCAATACATGCCAACACTCTTTGAGCTCACATCGAATGCTGTAAAGGGAGATGAAGAGAGTGTTGCCCTCCAAGCAATTGAGTTTTGGAGTTCCATCTGTGATGAAGAGATTGACCGTCAAGAGTATGACAGTCCTGATAGTGGTGACTCATCCCCTCCCCACTCCTGTTTCATAGAGAAGGCTCTTCCCCATTTAGTTCAAATGTTGCTAGAAACTCTGCTGAAGCAGGAAGAGGATCAGGACCATGACGACGATGTCTGGAACATATCTATGGCTGGCGGGACATGCCTTGGCCTGGTTGCCAGAACGGTTGGAGATGGTATAGTCCCTCTTGTGATGCCTTTTGTTGAAAAAAACATAAGTTCGCCAGATTGGCGAAGCCGGGAGGCAGCCACTTATGCTTTTGGATCAATTTTGGAGGGCCCAACAATTGATAAGCTTGCCCCGATGGTTGCTGCTGGCTTGGAATTCCTCCTTAATGCAACCAAGGATGGGAATAACCATGTCAGGGATACAACTGCTTGGACTCTGAGCCGTATCTTTGAATTTTTGCACTCCCCAGACAGTGGCTTCTCTGTTATATCACCCGAAAACCTCCCTAGAATTGTGAGTGTATTACTGGAATCAATTAAAGATGTGCCAAATGTTGCAGAGAAGGTCTGCGGAGCAATATACAATCTTGCACAGGGATATGAAGACTCTGGAGCAAACTCCTCTCTTCTCTCTCCTTATCTCACAGAAATCATCACACATCTGCTTGCAGCTGCTGAGCGTACAGATGGGGCAGAGTCTAAGCTAAGAGGTGCTGCGTATGAAACCTTGAATGAGGTTGTCCGGTGTTCAAACCTTTCAGAGGCCTCGAGCATCATAGCGCATCTCCTCCCTGCCATCATGAAAAAATTAGCTGAAACTATGGACCTCCCGATAATATCAACTGATGACCGTGAGAAACAGGCAGAACTCCAGGCTTCTCTGTGTGGTGTTCTCCAAGTCATAATCCAGAAGCTGAGTGGCAGGGAGGATACAAAACCCATCATAATGCAGAACGCAGATGACATCATGAGGCTGTTCTTAAGAGTGTTTGGATGCCATAGTTCAAGTGTCCACGAAGAAGCCATGCTTGCAATCGGTGCTCTTGCCTATGCAACTGGAGCTGAGTTTGTGAAATACATGCCCGAGCTTTTCAAATATCTCCAGATGGGGCTGCAGAACTTCGAAGAATACCAAGTCTGCTCAATCACCGTAGGAGTGATTGGTGACATATGCCGTGCCTTGGATGAAAAAATCCTACCTTTTTGCGATCAGATAATGGGTCTCCTTATCCAAAACCTTCAAAGTGGTGCACTCCACAGATCGGTGAAGCCTCCAATGTTCTCATGCTTTGGAGACATTGCTCTGGCGATTGGTGCTCATTTCGAAAGGTATGTTGCTCCAGCCGTTCAGATCATGCAAGGGGCTGCTCAGGTGTGTGCGCAGATGGACACCCTTGACGAGGAGCTTATGGATTATGCAAACCAACTCCGGAGAAGCATCTTTGAAGCATACTCCGGAATACTACAGGGGTTCAAGGATACAAAAGCCGAGCTCATGATGCCCTACGCTCAACATCTCTTGCAGTTTGTTGAACTAGTATCCAAAGATTCCCTGAGGTCTGCATCTTATGTTTTCAATAATGAAATCAATTTATATGTCTTTTAGTTTCACTATTCAGTTTAAACTTATTATTCGGGTTTTTGTTTTGGGAGCAGGGATGAGAGCGTGACAAAAGCCGCGGTTGCAGCAATGGGTGATCTTGCGGATGTTGTAGGGGAGAACACGAAGCAGCTGTTCAAAAACTTCACCTTCTGTGGTGAGTTCCTCAATGAGTGTCTCGAATCAGAGGATGAAGATCTCAAGGTCACTGCACGTTGGACTCAAGGAATGATCGCAAGACTCATGCTCTAATCATAATTTTAAAGGCTTTTACATCATCACTACTTGTGCGTCTCTCTCCCTCTCGGTCGTTATTGTTTTGAGTAAAGGTTCAAAGAATAGTTGCGGGTCTTCCCCTTTCCTCTGTCGAATGATGTGGGATAGTAGTTAAGGGGGTTTTGGGACATTGTTTTTATTGCTCGAGTCTACTCCGTCTTATTTTTACTCTGTAGAAGCAAACCAAACTCTTTTTCTCTTATTTTCTGTTTTTTTGTGGTTAATGGAATCATCCACTTATCGGTGGTTACTTTTGAGTAAAACTTTATGATTCTGTGTGTTTCTTAACGTGATCAATTTCGACAGAATGTAGCAAACGATTAATTTGAGGTAAAGGCTCATCGTAACTCCGATGATCTGCTCAAACACTAACTGCGAGATATCAGAATTCTGTTTATACATAAGGTGCCAAATTTTCTTTAAAATAGCGACATTACATCATTACACCAATAGAAGTTAAAGCAACCACATCAAGAGGAAGAGAAGGTATCGATAATGGTGGTGTGAAGTGGGTCACTAAGGTGAGTCGCCCAGTTGTTGAGGGGTCCTTTACCGGTTGCAGCCGCCTGAACAGCAAAACCCAAGAATCCAACCATGGCTAAACGAGCATGTTTGATCTCAGCTAGCTGAAGCTGAGCCTTCTTCTCCGGGTCAGATGCTAGTCCTAACGGGTCAAAGAACTTGCCTCCTGGATACAAACGCTTCTCTGAGTCCAGCTCAGCGTTTCGTTGGAACTCAATGTAGCCGACCACTAACACTTCGATCCATATCAATGTCGAGATAGAGAACGGCAATGGCTGTCCTAAGTAAGACGATCCATCCACTAGCTCTACCTGATAAAACATAAAAACGAACAATCAGACAAATGTCAAAACTCAAAATACAAACGCTAAAAAAACGACGAAAAAGAGGCGATACCTTGCCGGCGTCTTGCCAAGTAACACCGGTGAGCCATTCTACGGTGATAGCGCCGAGAGTGGCGAGCATTGCCCACCGACCGTGAATCAGCTCACATTCTCTGAATCTCTGTAGCCCGAAGACTTCACTGTATGGCTGAAACGGCGTCGATTTGGGATCCACCGCCTCGGTACGGGTCCCGATCACGTCTCCGGCTAAGTTCTTGGCGAGGTTCTGGTCCAAGGAGTCCAAATCGAATTGGAGATACTCTGCCGGTTTACCTAAACCAAAAGGATCGAACCCGTAGTCCCCGACCAGTGAACCGTCGAGATACTCTGGGGATTTTGCGCCTGGGAACCATAAAGGCCGGTCTGAGATAACCGTCTTAGCCTTTTTAGGAGCGGCTTTCTTAGTTCCGAATCCGAACCAGGCTGTGAACCGGGTTGAACCGGAGCTAATGTCGGAAACCACCCGGGTACCCATGATTGAAGAAGCAGAAGCGGCGGTTGAAGTGGCAGCCATCTCCGGCGTCGTTAGTTATGTCGCGTTTGCGGTTTGTAATTTTTCTGAAGCAAATGGCGTTTTTAAGTGGCGGTATTATGTGTGGGAGAGATCTCAGAGAACGAATCTTGACGGTTGGATGGAGAAACAAATCCATCTAACGGTAGGAAACAAACTCAGCCTTATCAATAAAAAGATGCGTTATCTGTCCTGTCAGTTAGACCATCATTAATGGTAGTCTCTTAGGAAAATCTTAGAAAAAAATCTTAAAATTTACTTCTTATAAACATGTTTTGGTTCTTAGCTAACAAACTTTTTCTTACCAATCTTTAATACTTAAGATTTACTTAAAATTTGGCTAAGAGCCAATATTAAGAGACTACCAATAATGTTGCTCTTAGATGAGGCAAACAAGCTGATTGGGCAAAAATCAAAATAAGTTATTGGCAAATCTTATACGTTGCCACTTGTCACTTCAGCAGCACAGTGTCCACTTGTATCGTTGTATGTCTTGCAAATTAAACAGGATTCATTACAAATCCAATTTATCCAAGAATATTGATAACCTGGTTCGGTATACTCAACCGAAATTCAACATTAGTTCGGTTTACAGTTTTCTCAAACCACAAAGTAAGTCTCCGTCTTGTGAAATTCGAAGAAGAAGGCTTCTCAATTTCTCATTAAAAAAATATGATTACATGATCGCATCCGAAACAGTACAATAGACCAAGACCGGACAGCTAAGTGTTGCACAACCAAACAGTACACTCACAAGAAATTTAATAATACATTCAGGAAAATAAACCTCAGAAGCAGAGTCACTAGATACTTCTGGAATCGATGATGATCCAAAAACAAGTAGAAACTCTGTCGACAGCACTCAATCAGATCCCCGTGAAGGCAACGTCGAAGAATCGATATAAAACGTTTTACATTAAGAAGAGAGCTGGAAACGGCCACTGGGTTTTTTTCTTCTCCATCCCTGCCAAAACACCAAAGAACATATGATTCTTCAAATACTTATACACAAGAGAAAACCCGAGGAGTAACATCAACGAGGACTTACAAAGGCAATGTAATATAGGAAAGTCAGTCCAGCCAGGATAACAAACCCGATTTGGAACACATTGTACCTGAATTATAAAACCTCAGTCGCTCAATAAGACGAGTCACGGATATAGATAGCATAAGAATGCTATATGCTAAACCACTTCTACTTACTTGTAAAGGTACTTAATTCCTCTAAGCGACTGCAATGTGTGACCAAATATCTCCTGGGCAGCAGTGGCTTGAGCGTAATATCCAAATGCAGTGGCACAAAATTGAATCACACTGCATATTAAATGAACCACATTACTCAAGACTGTGAGGATTCACATGTAATTGTGAGGGTTGCAGCTGGATATTAGTCAAAAAGTCTTGGTTTGACGTCCAAGAGAGAACGAAGGATACCAAAGTGCATGAGTAAAGTAATTATAAACTTCGATTCAGGCATTCGCCGAAAAGGAAATTAGTTTTAGTGATGGCAGGACAACACTGATTAGTTCATCTGTGTACATAAAGATGCTTGATCTAGATCCGTTTATCCGAGTGAACTTGGTCCCATCAAATACAGAGGCAGAAGAAGAGATCAGAGAGACTTACCTGATTGAACAAAGAAGAATGAGCCCGACATTGAAGAGGAAAGAGTTCATTAAAGTAGCTCCCCATCTGAAAAAAGTTGGTATGGCCAATCAGAAATCAAGAAAAGGGAAAGAATGACCTTCGAAAATAGCCACACACTGTTAAAACCGTTAGATGGATTACTTCATTGGATGAATGGTAATGAAGACCAGCTTCAAACCCAGCATCATTGCCCCAGCGATAACAGCAAGTAGAAGGTAGAAACAGAAGAAAGCAAAGGCAGCAGTGCCTAAAAGACCTGGAGATTTCCACACGTACCAGCATGGAGTCAGTTAAAAACAAAGAAGAAACCTTACATACGATAACAAGAACAGAAGTATGAACTTACCCCAAACATCATCAAGCTTAATGAAAACCTCGTTAAGAAAAGGGGAGAGAGGAGGGTCGACGAGTAGATATATGATGATGTGTGCAACCCAAGCAATGGAAACGATCAATCTACAAAGACATTAAAAAACTGCCATTCAAAAAGACGCTTAGCTTGGGAGCTCAAGAGTGCAAACCCAAATATGGAAGAACTGTATGCATTACCCATGATTTGTACAACATGTAACAAAATAAGGCCATAACAAAAAACTGCAAAGAAGATTTTTTGCTTAGAGTACTAACCCTAAGATTCCAAGAATGAACTTGGCCAAGTATCCAAGCACAGTGAAAGCCCATGCAGTTTCTGCCTGGAAAAAAGTACCAGGGAACAAAATAGTTGAACAACAAAAAGATTATCGATTAAGTTCTAAGATACACTCGTCTTACCTGCTCTCCTTGAGGATACATCTCTTCTAAGAGGTTCACATCTTCCTCCAATTGGAGCAACTCCTGCAGGGTCACCACATTCAATTATAGGGTTGAGGGGACACAGCTTAAATTCACAATCAAGCAAAAAAAAAGCTACCAATAAAGTCAATAACAAATTCTACTATCTCAGTAGCTTTTCACTACAAGTTGTCATTCCCATAACTCCACAGACAACCAAAGCTTCTTTACACGCAAAGGACCAGTATCAATAGGCAAACATTCCAAGTTGGTACTTATGATACAAAATTTAGATAAGATACTGAACCTTGAGATAAATGATGTACCTTTTCAACTGCTTTCACATTTTTCCTCCACTTCCTGCCCTTAGCACCACTTCTCTCTTCCTGATGAAGTCCATCAGCTGCTTTCTTTAGTTCTCTTGCCTTTTTACCTAGTTCGGTTGCCTCCTGTAAAACATTTATGGAGTTAACAAAAGCAAGAGACAGTGGGATTGACTCAAGATCTAAAGAGAGAGGCTTCCAAAGAAGAACAATAACCAGACCTTTATATATTGTGATCGAGTGATAACAGCCTTTGGCCGCCTGATGAATGCAGTGATAAGTCCCAGAGGTAGACATGCAATACCAACACCACCAAATATCTAGAAATATTTTGAGAGAACGATTAGTTATCAGATTTGTTACCGGAAATCTATAAATCGAACATCTATTTACTTCATTGGATACAGAGTTATATCTTGCCATGCATCTTATTTGTCGAGAATTTGTGTTAGTCAATGACGAATCAACAATATAAGACAGACTAAATCCTTTCAAAACAAACAATGCACTTCTCAAGATGATAGAACAATGCTCATACCGTGAAAAGAACTGACCCAACAATTGTCGCAAGAGCAACAACATACTCTGGAAAAGTAGTACGCATGGTCCATGTTTTCTCAGATGTGGCATTAGCTGTAAATGCTGAGCACTGCATTGATTAGCCAGAGACAGGAAATATGTTACATGCTGAAACTCTCTATGGCATAAATGACTCATGATATAAAAACTAATGCTAATGCTGCAATTAAGATGCAAACATTACCTGACGAGCGGTGTTACCGATGCATGGTTGAGTATTTGAAAATTGCCAGGAAGTAGGGAAAGTGGATGTGGCAGAAGCCAAGTGCCTGACAGAGAAGTCCACCTTTCCAATGACACCTACATGATAAAGATGTTACCAACAATTCTAAGTTATTCCTAGCACATTAATGAATAAGATATCTCAACCCAAGCCCTAATTGGGTAATTTATAAGCTAAAATTAACATAACAAATCATAGTGACCAGCATCAGATTCATCCATGCCACATGCTCACTAATGGTTTCAATTACCACTCCAAACTTTCGTCAATACAGGACGACGCTGAATTTCAAGTCAACAAAAGAATAGAAAACACAGGAACAACTAACCATATAAAATTCCAAGCACCAGCGCACAAACAACAGCCGTGGTTACCACCCAAATTAAGGCGCTTTTTATCCTCTTTCCAAGAGTCCTGCGAAAAAAAAAGACCCCCCACAAATTGTCAACAATATTCGACTAACTCAAAACTTAAAACGTACAAATACTAAATTTTTCATCGAGTAACGAACTTGTCCTGGTCGCCTTCATAGAAAAACATTGCGAAGGGGATGACAAAGAACACGAGAATAGCGTCAACGATGTAAATGGCAAGCCAAAGATCCTTCATGGGCAATGTGAGATTGCAAGCTCCGTTGTATATAGCATGTCGACAAGCATGCCGATTGGCCACATCCGCCGGTAACATGAGAATCGAGATCATAGCAATAGACAGCCCAAAAACAACGACGAATTTGGGGAAATAAGCCTGGTTTGCATCATCTGGATGCTGGTAGTTGACGAGGAGATAGATGCTAGAGATGAAAACGATGACGCAAACAACGATCGCGACAATCACGAGAGCGAGGTTGAAATCGCCCATCGTGTGCAATGTACAAGGTCCCCAATTCGAGAGAACGATTTTGAAGATGCAGCAACCCAATTGGAAAAGCTAGGGCTTTTTCGGAGTTCGAATTTGAAAATTGAATTTGGGTATTTTAGTAGATCTGGATTTCTTTCCCTCTCGAAAACCAGACGAGGGAATGAGAAAGAGGACTGGGAGGGTGATGAACGTTCTTTGTAAATTACGTAGTTACCCTCATCAATGTGCTCTCGTGCCTAATGGCTTTGGGTTTAAACGTAAATTGTTATTAGGTTCGGAGATTAGCTGTCCGAAGCATATGATTCGGACAAATATTTCAACTAATGAAAGACATCTGTAATAATAATAAACCAGAACCGCGCCGTATTGTCATCAAACCGGACACAATTTTAAGAATAAAAAAATGTCTCACACTAGATTTTAACCCGCGGTACACCGCGGGGCTATATTTTCTTAAAAAAATCAAAATGTAATTTGTTTGATAGATTATTTTGATTGTTAATTTTAGGATTTCACCCATGGTATACGATCTTTTATAAATATCAACCCAAACCCGTCCCATCATATTACCCGTCCCGTGAAATTAAACATTATTTAGTTATTTTTCTTTTTAATAATATTTTTATTTAAAAGCTATATAATGCAAGTCAATTTAAAAATTTCTTTTAAATGGTTCCCATAAGATATATATACATATATATTAAATTTGTATAGAGTTGAAATAATATTAATATTAAAATTTTTTTATATAATTTAAATATTAAAAATATTTTTAAAAATATGTAATATATATTTTTTGTTATTGAATAAGAGGATATTATGTGTAAGAAATGTAGAAAATAAGAGTTTAATATTTTTATTATGGAGTCGCAAAAAAAATCTTTTATTTCTATACATGTTATTCATTTATTAATAATAAAAGAAAACAAATCCTTTAAATTAGATATTAACTAAAATAAACGCACCATAATTACTTATTAAGTAACAACCAATAAATTTCACCAAAAAATAGGTAACAACCAATAAATTCTAAACGCAGTAATCAAAGAATGAGATATTAAAAAAAAATATCAAATAAGATATAAGAATCTTAAAATAATTGAACATCTAAATAATTTAATTGTTAGTGTCGATTTTAATGCCTTCATTAATGTGGATTTTTTTTTTTTACAGAGAAATATTTCCTAAAGATTATCACATTAATGACTCAGAAAATTAAGGAAGATATGAATTTATGATTCTCGAAATCGTATTGGTAATATCTTTAAGTAATATTTTTCAAATTTAAATAATTAATGCCAATGGCATTCATCCGTAAATAAGGTCCAACTCTAGGATTTATTTGCTAAAAGTCATTCAAAAATGTATATATAGATATAGAGAGGGAGAATCTCCACACTTGGCTTCAAAAACCAATTTAACGACTCTTCTGGCCAAAAGACGGTAACAGTACAATTAGTTTGAGTAAATAAAATGATACACCTCCTATCGTGGCGAACCGAAGCTCTTCGGTCCCTTCTATCTCTGGAAAATCTCCCTCGGTTACTCGGTTAAACCCTCCGGCTAACCACCCTAAGCTTTTGTACCCTTCTCCGTGGAGTTTTGATACAGCCGCCAACGACCTGAGATTGAAGAGAATACCATTTATAATAACCAAACCGAACCAAAGAGTGCAGTTTAATTTTTACGATCCAAACCAAAAGATTCTAATGATCATATCGAATGTTAACTATATTGATTAAAGATTTGTTTAGTTTTTATAAGTTTCTCTAAAATCTGGACTAAAAAGTCAATAATTAAGCTTGTACCTGAGTCCTTCACCGCACACGACGAGCACTTTACTCTCTTTGTCCGGGACAGCCTCCACAACACGGAGGGTGAATTCGTCATTGAACATGGTGAATCTCTGGCCCGTCCAAAGCCCAATGTATCCCAAATGAATCCATTTCTTCAGCAACGTAATCGGCCCATTGTCTGTATCCTCCACGAACAGGGGCACGTGTAAGGACCCTTTCACACGTGCCTTTTCTCTTTCCCAAGCCGGCCTCACGTCTAAGAGCACGTATCCCTCCGACGCCACAACCGTCTTGGCTTCTTTCGGCTCCACCGACCGGACCTTGCCGGAAAGTATCAGTTCTTTACCGGACACGGCGGAGATCACTGGTAATCTGTATGGTTTTCGGAGGCGTCGGTATAGTACTACTGGTGGCTTGTGGATATGGTTTAGTTGATGAAGAAGAAGTGTCATCTCTAATTCTTTTGGATTTTCTGAGGAATTTAACCAATTATATTCTTCTTTAGAGTTTTTGCTTGCTGAGGATTCTCACTTTGAGACAATATGAGAGAACACCCCAAAAGCTCTTACTTATTTCCATTCTAAGTCCTCAGAGATTTCATAATTTGTCCATCACCCTCGCTTAAAGTAAACTGGCACTGGGGGTCAAATGTAAATCTCCTCTGTTTGAAACGACCCCGTCTTTTGATAAGGGTTTGCCGAACCAAAAAAGAACCGGTCAAGACCAAATAAAAGGATCCGGTCGGATAATTTCTAATGTCCTTATTAATATTTAGAACCGGTACGGAATGATCCGCCAGAGTTTTGTATTGAAGAAGATCGATTGAAAAACGAAGAGCGAATCAAAGAGGAAGAAGAAGAAGAAGGAGGAGGAGGTATAGCAATGGGGGTCGATTATTACAAGGTTCTTCAGGTGGATCGGAACGCGAAAGACGACGACTTGAAGAAAGCTTATCGCAAACTCGCCATGAAGTGGCATCCAGACAAGAACCCTAATAACAAAAAGGACGCCGAATCCAAATTCAAGCAGATCTCTGAAGCTTACGATGTAAAATTCTCTTCCACAATTCGAATTCTCTTCCCTGTTTAACGATATGCGTTTTCTTTTTTTTTTTCCGAGATATTCCCATATTTTGCTTGAATTTGATCAGTTGTGTAGTTTCTCAATTCACTATGGTTACTTCTCTGGCAATTAAGTAATCTTGATTTTCTTGTCAATTATAGAATTTTCTTTTATTGATTCCTTATGCTGTTGGATTCTTTAAGGTTTTGAGTGATCCTCAAAAGCGAGCCATTTATGATCAATACGGAGAAGAAGGTCTAACTAGCCAGGTTCCGCCTCCTGGTGCCGGCGGGTTTTCGGGTGGTTCAGATGGAGGGGCTTCCTTCCGGTTCAACGGTAGAAGCGCAGATGACATCTTCTCCGAGTTCTTTGGCTTCACAAGACCCTTCGGTGACTCACGTGGTGCAGGTCCCTCTAATGGCTTCCGGTTCGCAGAAGACGTTTTTTCCTCCAATGTTACAATGAGGAAAGCTGCCCCTATTGAGAGACAACTTCCTTGTAGTTTGGAGGATCTCTACAAAGGAATCACTAAGAAGATGAAGATCTCTCGGGATGTCCTCGATTCAAGCGGGTCAGTTTTTCAGCTACATTGTCATGAATTGAGTTTCAAGAATCACCCTTTTATGAATTTAAGTTCCAAAACATTGATTTGCTTAGAAGGGGTCCATATTAGTGTTCGCTGTGATCATGTTTGAGTTTTTGAAATCTGGAGATTTGGAACTTGACAGATACATGAAAGATGTAATGCTAGAAATTAGTCGTTAGCCATTGGATACACTATGTTGGATTCATATCATAAATATTGAAGTTATATGCATTCCGGTTTTTCGGAGTTGTTGGCCACTTGACTAAGTACTTGCAGTGAAGAATGAGTGAATCTGAGAATAATCCATTTGCACTTTTGAGATATCAGGCAGGAGACATTGAGTTGCTTTCTATGTAGCTTTGATGTTGTTGTTATCGGTAATGCAAGTTGAAAGTGGATTCTTTGTTCCAATGCAGGAGACCCACAACAGTTGAGGAGATCTTGACAATAGAAATCAAGCCAGGGTGGAAGAAAGGGACGAAGATAACCTTCCCGGAGAAAGGAAACGAGCAGCGAGGAATCATACCATCAGATCTTGTATTCATAGTTGATGAGAAGCCACATGCTGTGTTCAAGCGAGACGGGAATGACCTTGTGATGACACAGAAGATCCCTCTCGTGGAAGCCCTCACGGGATACACCGCTCAGGTCACGACTCTGGACGGAAGATCAGTAACGGTTCCAGTCAACAACGTGATTAGCCCTTCTTATGAAGAGGTGGTGAAAGGCGAAGGCATGCCAATCCCTAAAGACCCATCAAAAAAAGGGAACTTGAGAATCAAGTTCAATGTTAAGTTCCCATCAAGGCTAACAACAGAGCAGAAATCTGGAATCAAACGAATGTTTTCGTCTTCGTAGTCTGTCTCTTTCTCTCTTACTGCTACGTTTGATTTTCGGTTATATCAGTTGGCTCTTTGGGAGGTCGTTGTGAAATGCGTAGGTGTGTGGGTCTTTGTTTGGGAGATTGTGAGGTTCTTGAACGATGTCGCATTGAGGTTTCTCAACGTCATCCTTCAAAGCTTTTTGGTTTGGGGTTTTACATTTTAGTAGTTTTTTTTTGTTTTTTAATTGTTACTAGGAGCGGTCCCCGCGCCCGGCGCGGGGTTGTAGGGATTTTAATACCATTATTAGTAATGAACAATTAATAGTGTTTAATCATAATATATATAATAGAAACATAAATGAGAAAAATGATATATTTAAACAATAGATATATTATTAAAATAATGATAGTTGCATAAAAAAATGCAATAAAAAACTGGATTTTGGTTGATGTTGTGTGTCATGATTTTTTCTCCACATTGCTTTAGTTTGGTTCAAAGGTGATGTGTTTAAGCATGTTTTTAATATGTGGGTTAGTCACTTAAAAAATAGACCACTCGTTAAAAACTGGTTTCGTGGGGATAAATTCAATCTGATGAATGTTGTCTATGCACTTTTGCAATGGAGTCTCGAAATCATCTCATGTTCCTCTGTGAGCGCTTCCGAGGTGTGAAATTTGTTTTTTTCTAGGCTTTATTCTCGACAAAAGTTGTTTTGCTCTTGGGCTAAGCTACTTTCTTGGACCTGACGCTCTTCCTCTCTTGAGACACTTAAATAATTGTCCATTCATCAAAGACAGGCTTCTTGGGAATAAATTCAATCTGATGAGTGTTTTCTTTGCATTTTTGCAACGGAGTCTCGGGATCACCTCCTGCTCCTCTGTAAGCTCTCCCCATGTGTGGAATTTGGTTTTATCTATGCTTTATCTATGAAAAATATTAGTTTAAAGAATATAAACTGTTATAATTGAATTTTGAAATTCTTTCAGGAAGCAGGATAATAAACCAGACGTGTTCTTTTGTTTCGAGGTAGTTTTGTCATTAATCATTAAAAATTAATTCGTCTTCTATAAATTTTGGCTTATCGTTAGAAAAATGTAGTGGTCATATCATCGTCTGTGTGATTTGATTCGCAAAATTAGAGTATTCTCAAGGTGTTGACCTACATATATTAATATGTAATTGTGTATATGTTGTGTAATTTTCAAATGTTTGTTTTAAATATGTTATTTTGGTTTGATTATGTGTCTTAAGGAGAACTACTGCACGTATATGCAATCAGGTTCTGTTCAACCCTACATGTCTAGAGTTTTGGAGGATGTGGTATTTTTTTGCTGGCAAGGATCACACATTTTGCACTTGAGATTCCGAGACTCCGTTGCAAAAGTGCAAAATGTGCTTAATAACTATAAATTTTTGTGATCCTTAACACAAAACGATTCCGCATTCCTGCAACTTTCAGCACACATACGGTTTACTTTTCATTATAATATTCAAAACAAACAATATGTATTAAAAATATATGTTGTTAAGTTTTTCAAACAATAAGCTGAAAACGAATTAGGGTGTATTTTGAATGCTTTTCAAAATAGTAAAAGTCAAAATATCATTATAATTTTAAAAAGTGCACTTTCAAATATGAAAAAATGAATAACATTTTTTCAAATTCAAAGAAACACTCTTATTCTTTCATTTTGAATTTGGAAATAGAGAGAATGTTACGTCAAAAATGTAAACTAATTCAAAAACCATAAAACAATCCGACCTTATTGTTCACAATAATGATTAGTGAGCTAAACTAATAATCAAACCTGTACTTTAATGGATCAAACAATAATCCACAAACAAAAACCTAATCATTACGTTGCAACAAAGGTCCATAATATATAAACTGGATATTAAAATAAATATGTAAAAATAAACTTGTCAGCACCAGACGCCTTCAGTCATTTGTTTCTTGATAATCAAGGAATCAAAATAATAATCTATGACTGAATTGAACTGAAAGAACATATTTCGTATGAATTTGGATATTCTATAGTATAAGTTAATAGAAATTTCACCTTTAGATATATAAATTTAGTTGGTGTCGATTAGTCGGTTGGTACTTGCTTTCCCATTCGTATTACACGGGTAGATAAAAATCGTTGACAAATAATACACAACGAAACGTGCTCGTCTCTTTACAGTACACCAACGTGCTCCACCTACACCATCGTGAAAGCTATGTTCTGGTTCGCCGATATCAACTCTTAACATATCAAGTCATCACTGTCTCCTCCAGGAACAAACCAAGTTCTCCACCTTTACACAAACCATTTTGTCTATGGGAGATGGACACTTTGACACACTTTTGCCAACATTTCTTAAAATTGTTTTTATAAGAAGTCCAATATTACCCACCACTCTCTATCTCAATGACGGTTAAGAACATCCGCTTTGAAACATGCTTCTCGTCTTCCTTCACCAAACCATCTCACGATCGCTCTCTTCTTCATCTTGAAGCCCAAGCCAATATCTCAATGTCTCAAACTTCTTATGTTAACCATCTTCATTACCTTACCTTCCTCCTGATTCAAGCACTTCTTGCAGTCCTGTCTCACTGCCACATCTTCCGCTAGTTGGTACAGTACCAAACAATTACTGTTCTATCTTAGCCATGCATTTCTCGAAGAGCTTCAATGTTCTCCAAGTGTAGTTCATGATCTTCTTTCTTTTTTTTTTAATCATGCACATATGAATGTTAGTTCTTAGTCAATATACCATCAACAATCACAACCAAAAACAAAGGAAATCCAGATATCAGATATGTCGAAAGTGAATCCAAGTATATGAGTAAATTCCATCTAAAGAAGGAAATAGAAACATACCTTTAAATCTCTCTCGGGTCCAGCTAAGAAACTTGATTTATTCAAGTTTGTCGCAGACAAGAGTATTTACAACAGCAAAGAGGCCGCCTTCTCCAATCCAGGATCCAACCTGGAGTAGTTAAAGACCAAAATATATATTTTAGAAACATGCTCACGTAACCTATTTTGCCGCTAAAGTTGCGATCAGTTTCCTCCGCTTCAAATTCTGCCCAAATCTGCAAAAACGAAGGCCAATTTCAAATTAACTATATTAAACATAGAAAACCAAAAAAAAAGAGCCTAGACATGAACCAACAATAAAATGATAAAAACCGAGACCAAAGAGATATTAAGCAAAACGGGAATAATGGAATAACTTAATGAGATAGGAGTAATAGAATCTCCTCATCCTCCTCCTTCTCCCTGTATATGATGGTGATACTTGAAAGAAGAACCAAATTTACATGTTCCTGGTCCATAAAATGCTATCTCAAAGAAAGTAATCAAAGTGAGAATTTTATACACTAATTATAGTATTGTTGATGAAAGTTAAAACCAAAGTGCATCAATGAGTACCTGACACACGTGCTGTACCATTATCTATAGAAACTCTGCAGCTTATATTATGAGAATTGACATACAAGACCTAAAAAGTGAAACTAAAAACATCAATGAGAGCTTCCAAACAAAAACTATTTGAAGTTTTACGATACAATGTTAACGGACTATTTTACTTGTGCTGAATCAAAACTCACCTACCTGCAAAATTTCTACGGTTGGCTGGTTGGTATGTGATATAGAAGAAATACCGAAATTATTTTCTTTCACTCTAGGGAGAACTGGCTCAGCTACTTCCATGGAATAGAAAGAACATTTGGTGAGATGTGATAAATTCCCCATGGTAAAGCTCATCTGACCAACTGTTGTTGATGGGTTGAGGAACTTCAGTGCTTAAAGAGATAAGTTCCATTATGAGCAATCCCTGTTAATTTTCAGAAAATGATCAAAAGTTGATCTAGAGTCCAAGATATATGCAGGACTTAGGAATAGACAGTACCTTTATCATTACTTCGCGTATGAACATCTCCACAAACTCCTCAGCCATCTTCTTTGTGATCATATCAATATGGCAAGTACCAAACCTTAGAGACCACACATGAGAATCAACTATTGAACTTTTGTTTTTGGGTCTTACCAAATGTAGAGACATTCCAAAAATTAAATACAGGGATGCCACCACAAACTCCAGCATCACTTGAATCTTCCTTAGAGCAAGAGAACTATACAAGTGACTCGGTACCTAGCTTGGTATAACATCTCAGAGATCTGCTTGCATTTACCATCTCAACAACAACGGCTACCTGCATTTTTCTAAAGTTTTCTTTATAGATTCCAAATTACAAGAGAATAAATTTCCCAAATTTACAAGATTTAGCATTGTCACACTCACCATTTCCTTGTACGACGATAAAAGCTTGACTCGATAAGCACTCTGAACATAGAAAGACTTAGTTTGTGAGTTAAAACGAAAGAGATTGAACGCATGAGAATGAAACGAAAGACGAAGAGAGTATTGAAATGCAACTTTTCACCTGTTGCTTAGACAGCTTCTTCAAAGCGTTCTTCTTGATATCAAACATGTTACTCGACACACCAAGCTCCATCATTGGCATATACCTATTGCCATGGAAAAACATAATATTAAGAATCAATCTTCTTACTCAAACACTCCTCAAATCACCAAAGTGAAACCAATTCCAAAACGATTGCTTTTTAGACGTTCTAAAGCAGAGAAAAAAAAAAAACATCAGTGAGAGCTTCCGAACAAATAAAATCATAGATTCTATTTCAGCGATATCTAATAAACTACTTTTCACCTATTAACAAAAATACTCCATCAAAATAAAATAAAAACACATAGGAAGAAGAAAAAAAGAAAGACAGACACTTTATCAAAGCCAGAGAGAAAGAGAGGGTTGATTACCAACTCGAGTTTTGTGGGTCTCGACCCGTACCCGCAGACACCGTTCTTAAGTAATATATATACAATCGGTCGTTCGGGATACGATTCACTTCCACCACCGTTTTGCAACCCTAACCGCTACATCCAAGCTACAAACGCCACATTAAAAAAACAAAAACTTTCAATTCACACATAAACCCTAATCATACACTAATCTTAAAGAAGACAAAGAGTGCCATTAACGTTACCGTTGATGCTGGTCACGTTTTCTGGGGCGGTCCATCCGTTACCGTTGATGTTGGTCACGTTTTTTGGGGCGGTCCATCCAAGTTATGAATCCGACCGCAAACCATCATCGCCGGTGCCACCGTACCTGAGTGGTCTACTTTGAAATCAGACCGATTGTGAGCCGTAATATTCCACGTCTTTCTCTCTACAAACCTACTTGTGTATGAAAATTCATCCTGCAATCATACGTAATGTAAACAACATTAATATTTTTATAAAAATCGAGCCATAAATAAATTACAGAAGAAAAAAAAACAGGGGTTAGTTGTGATCTAAAGGTGACTACCAATCCAGGTATTTATATAAAATTAAGAGGCGGTGTAATATCTACAACAAAAAAAGGAAGATTTATATATTTTTTAAGAAGCGAATCTATATCATAAAAATTAATAATTTAAAATTGTCTTATTCAATATTATACATATTAATTTTAAGTAACGTTTCATTTTATTTTAAGATAAAGATGGAATAATAACATAACGATTTAGATTTACTACTATATCTTACATTTGTTTAGATTTTCCGTCATTATCGACATAAAATATTTAAAAAATAAAATTTTATTAGAGATATGAATCAGATTTAAAGAATATACGTAGGATTGTTTTGATATTTTTTGCCAATATCTACTTATCAAAAAAGGAAAATTTAATTTTTAACTCATAATTATCACAAACGATTGGTTGGGAAAGAAAGAAAAAAACAAAAAAAAAACGGAAAACAAAACGAAAAAAAAAAAGAAAAAAAAAGGAAGACACACGACCATTTTCCGTCTCCTTCTACGAAATCCCAGTTTTTCATTACGATTAATGGAGGTTAATACATTTTCATCGAGTCTATATTCATTATTCGTGCATGATCCAATCAGATAATTCAAGGTAATTTTAAAGAACACCCTCTTTTATTAGCTTGAACTCTATGGTGCAGGATAGCATCAATAATTCAATATGATGGTTTGAAGACTTGGCATGGACAAGATATTAATTAAGAGTCGTCTTTCCATCATGTCAGATTCGATCAAAAGATGATGTTCTATCACTAAATTGTCGATTCTCTCTGGTTATATGCTATATTTTAGGTTTTCAAGTCTGGTATGTATATTAAAAAGTTTACATGCGACGAAGAACATGATGATGAGGTACGATGAACATCTTCTAAATTGGTACGTAAATTACAATCGATCCATTTTTTTTTAGGTTTTCTTATTTTTTCGTGTTTACGAATATTATTAATTTTAAAAAATGTTACAATCGATCCATTTTTTTTTAGGTTTTCTTATTTTTTCGTATTTACGAATTTTATTAATTTTATAAAATGTAAATTATATCAAATATTCACTTATTAGGGTTATTTATGTAATTGAACATTAGTTGATATTCGACTTGATTTAATAGAAGGTATTTAAGTAATTACGTAAAATCAAGGACTCAACAAGAGCCGAGAGTCCGACACATCAGCAAAAACACTTCTCAAATATTGTTATATATAGATTAGATTGGGGGAAAAAATAAACTAAATAAAGATTCTTTACTTTTTTAGTTTTGTTTAGAGCTTTCAAGTTTTCTAAAAAATTACAAGGAAAAAAACATATGGCACCAGTTCCTGCATTCTTTTCTGTATAAGTTCAACAAAAACAATTCCTAAAATCATTTTTGATATTAAAACAAAAAAAAACATATCAATAAAACTTTTCATGTTTTGTTCAAACAAATCTTCCACAAACAGACGACGGTCACGTGATTTGGGGTTAGAGAGTTACGAGGGGGGTAAGAGTCATGAATTTTGGTTGTGATGAAAACATGAAAAATAAGAACCATCAAACATGTTTTGGCATAAAGTTACTTCTTCTTCCGTTAAGAGTGAAAATGATTTATGTCCATCTCGTCTCTATAAATACCAAAGAATTCATCCTCATTATCGTACATCTCTCCTTGTCTTTGCTTAATCTTAAACTACTCTTTCTTCCTTGTCTATTCAAATGGCGCAATTGTATTCTTCCGTGAAACCCACGCCAATGTTGAAAGATGAGCTAGACATTGTGATACCCACCATTCGAAACCTTGACTTCCTTCAGATGTGGCGACCCTTCTTTGAACAGTACCATCTGATCATTGTTCAAGATGGTGATCCTTCGAAAGTCATCAACATTCCAGAAGGGTTTGACTACGAGCTCTACAACAGGAACGACATCAATCGAATCTTGGGTCCCAAGGCCTCTTGCATTTCCTTCAAGGACTCTGCTTGCCGTTGCTTCGGTTACATGGTCTCCAAAAAGAAGTACATCTACACCATTGATGATGATTGCTTTGTAAGTGTTCTCTTGTGTGCAAAATTTCTTAAGACATCTGTTGGTCAAACCAAAGTCTTCTTAAGTTCACAATATATGTGCAATGTAGGTTGCAAAGGATCCAACTGGGAAAGAGATCAATGCGCTTGAGCAGCATATCAAGAACCTCTTATCTCCATCAACCCCGCATTTCTTTAACACACTTTATGATCCATACAGAGATGGGGCAGACTTTGTTCGTGGATACCCTTTTAGTATGCGCAAAGGTGCCATAACTGCGGTATCTCATGGCCTCTGGCTCAACATTCCTGACTATGATGCTCCCACTCAGCTTGTGAAGCCTCTTGAGAAAAATTCCAGGAAATTTGATCTTCCACTGAGGCTACCAATTTTGTTATGCATCTCTTTTGTGAAAGCGTAATCGAAGCAAATACTTATTGGTTAGTTCTTGCTTAAATGCAGGTATGTTGATGCAGTCATGACCATTCCCAAAGGAACTCTTTTTCCTATGTGTGGTATGAACCTCGCTTTTGACCGTGAGTTGATTGGTCCGGCCATGTACTTTGGGCTTATGGGTGACGGACAGCCAATCGGACGCTATGACGACATGTGGGCTGGTTGGTGTGTCAAGGTAAATTCAGTTCTTATCTTTGTTTTTGATCAACTACATGTATTATGCATTATGCGGATTTGAGCTCGCGGTGACTCGGTGGCGACGCTAGTAAAAACCACTAGGGTGCATATCATGGTCAAATGCAATTCTTATCTTTGTGCATTGGTTTATATTGTAATACCGTTACATTTGTCCACCAACCTTAAAATACTTTTTCCTTTAACCAAAATAAAGGTGATATGTGACCATATGGGATGGGGAGTGAAGACGGGTTTGCCTTATATATGGCACAGCAAAGCCAGCAACCCATTCGTGAACCTGAAAAAGGAATACAACGGAATCTTTTGGCAGGAAGAGGCGATACCGTTCTTTCAATCTGTGACTCTTCCTAAAGAATGCACTTCGGTGCAGCAATGCTACCTCGAGCTGGCCAAGCTCGTGAAAGAGAAACTTGGGAAGGTTGATCCTTACTTCATCACACTTGCAACTGGAATGGTCACTTGGATCGAAGCTTGGGAGGAGCTTAACTCCGAGGAGAGAACTGAGGCTAAGGCACCAAACGGCAATAAAGAGTAAAACAGAAGGTAACTGAATAAGGCAAATGGTATTGTTTACTAGGAGATAAGGGTTTGAGTCACATGTGCAACCCTCTCTGTTTTTCTTAATTAAAATTGTATTGTTACTGTCTTTAATTTCTTGTCATCAGTATTTGTGTTCTCACTTCTCACTCTCAGTCCATTGTCAGTTTGTCACAAAAAGAGAAGGTGTAATGTGTTCTATACATTTTTGTTTTCTCTTCTTTAAGGTTTCTAAACTCTTTATCTATGAAATATCTATCATTCCTATTTTCCTTAATTTGAGAGCAAAATTAGTCAGCTCTCAAAAGTTTAAAGGCTTTCTTATCATAAACAAGCCCTCATTGTACATTACGACTAGCTCTGGTCATATGCTTAAACAGTAACTCAGCCAGTAATACAAAAAGACATAAGAACATTGTTTGGTGTACTGAGTTACCATCTTCTTCAGTTTATCAAATTCATGAACTCCAGCATAATTGAAAATCAGCATATACAGAAACCATTTTTAAGAAAAAAAAAAGAAACTTGAAACTTTAAAGATATAGATTGGAGAAAGAGGATAAAAGAATTGGGAATTACCCGCATAACAGAGCTAGAATTTATCAATCTCAACGCCATCTCTTAAAACCTCATAAGCATCACGGCTTCTGATTTTCTTCATCCCTGCTGTGAAATGTACCTTTGAAGAATCAGCAGAAATACTTGTGACTTTAACCCATATCATTACTTTTGTCTTCATCCCTTCAACATCGGCTAGTTTTCCTTTCTCTAGAAATCCGGTAACTGTTGTGGTGAATCTCAAGACTGATGAATCTTTGTAGCCAACTTCGCAGATTGATGGAATAAAGACGGTTAGTTTCCTCGTCTGTTCATTGAACTCGTAGTTGGTTGCATCACGTGGAAAGATCCCCACAGGCAAACCAAACTCCTTAAGTAACTCGGGTAATGGCTTCTGCATTTTTCCTGACAACGAGATTAGAAACCAACAATTTTTTGAGGAAAGATGTGGCTCCTTGAATGTCAAATTAAACAGCAAGAATGAGTAAAAATAACCAACCTTTGATTTTGTTCACCAACCATTTTGTTCCTCCTTCGATGCTTGTAGACAAAGACTGGAACAAAGAATGTTACAGATTATAGAAGATCACAACACTGCCTCATTGAGCTAAATCATGTTTTGAAGAAACACAAAAGAACACTACTAGCACAAATCAGTCTCAACAAATTATTTACTCTTAAGATCTTGTTCCTTCTACGCCACAATTCCCCTAATATTATCACAAGCGGCCTCAAAACTGAAGAATTGCAGTAAACTCTTATACAGTTCAATGAACATATGACAGATTTGCTAGAAAAATGCAGAAATCAAACGCAATTGCGCTACTAAGTGAAGAATCAACGAGCTACACCACCATTTACCAGACTCTAAGATCAATAGAACCCTAGATCGACTAAGACACGGTACAAAGGATGAAACAAAATTCTCAAAAGCATCGGATCGAGATCAGAGAAACTCAAAACCAAAATTGATGATTCTTCAAGTAGTAGTGAAGGAGTAGAGAGATGCCTACGTTGATATCGTCACCGACGGAATCGAGCTGCTTGTTCGCTTTCTTACCTAACCAGTACGAGCCTACCTTGTTCAAGATCTGATCCATTCTCTCTCACAATCACAGATCGTATCTCTCTCTCTCTCTCTCGCTCGCCGAGATCGGAGGTGTTTTTTTTTGGTTCTATCACCGATTCATTTAATTGCGTTACTTTGGACGAAATACAATCGATTCCTCCATTTAAGTGGTCCTCGCTTCTTCTTGTTCCTATTAACACTATAACAGCCAATAGGCTTTTGACACGTATCAATGTGAAAGACTGATGTGGATTGTTTAACAAACAATTAAAATTAGATTTCAATTTAACTTTTAATAAAGAATATAGGGCCAATAGAAGAGAAGCAGACGTTTCTCTCCCGAGACAGCCGCCAGTGGAAAAAAAAAAAAAGTTCTAGAATCTGAGGCTGGATTGCGGTGGCTCTCCTAGCACCGGATCCGGCCTCCTCGCCCCTGTTATAGTTTTGCTTTTGTTTCTCGTTTTATGTTTGGTGAGGCTGTGATTGAAGATCCGAGAAGGCGAGATGGGTTTCTAGGTTGCGGTGGTTCATTTTTGATGAAGCTTCTGGCTTAAGGTTGGGTTGAGTGGTGCTATGAATTGGCGGTTCCTCTCCTCGTCACGACATGGCCTTCGATTTTAGTCTCTTCTCATATCTGATTTTCTCGAGAACAAAATCTGTTTTGTGGAGGAGCTACCGGTGCTTATCGAGGTGGTGTTTTTGGAGAGGCATGTTTCTCGTTTCTGGAAGTGGTGGCGGATGGATCTGCTTTAAGAGTTGGTGTGGTGGTCTCTTGCGGATGTTAGGTTGTGGCTTTGTCTGTTGTTGGCCGCCGCCGGTGGTTGCGAGGTGACAGAGACTTTTCGTTTCTGTTCCTTGTCGGGTTGAAACTCATATTGCCTTTCTCTTATCGGATGGTTTTAGCTGTTTGTTTGTGTTAGCTTCTGGTAGTTGTTGGTTTAGTCTTTGGAATTGCTGGGTCATGGTTTTGCTCTTTGTTATATCTAGAAAGCTCCGGGGATTGGTCGTGTTGGCTAGTTGTGGATAGCTTTCGCATTATCTCTTCTTTGTTCTTTGTTCGTTGAATCTTTTAAGTGTGTCTCCTTCCACCGCCTCTAGTTTAGATTAATAAGTAGGTTTTCTCTCGTGGTCTGTTCCTTTTCTGTTCTTGTAAGGCTAACCTCTTGTGGGGATGCAAAGTTCTAGATTTAGACTTGTTCGTTAGAAGACTAGGTGGTTAGGTATTAGATTCGCGGCGTTTTCATATGTTTGGGATAATCGTTTTTAGTTGGGATATGTCTTCGCGGTTTCCACTATCCCTGGTCCTTCTCCATTTGCGGTGGTAGGTCCTCTAGCTTGCGACCTTTGAGCTCTTATTTCCGCGGTTTCTGTTCTCCTCCGACTTTTTCGATGATTTCGAGAGCTTCACTTCTTGACTTTAGTATATTTTCTTATGTTTCCCGTGTATCGGGCTTTAGCTTCCGGGGATTTCTTTGTTTTCCGCCGGTATTGTATTTCGAAAACGCATCCCAAAAACGTATTCCACCCATGTATTCCACTCTTGTATTATATAATGAAAATCTTTCAGTGAAAAAAAAAAAAAAAAAAAAAGAGAAGCAGACAAAGTTTATTACTGACAGTGAAAATAGGATAAGCTTGTATCTGACGTGGATGCAATATCCTCGTGTTCACACTATCCCATTGAACAGACTAGGCCTACGCCTGGACAAAATAACCAAACCAAAAGAACCGAACCGGAACCGAAAAAAAAAAGTATCAATATTTTAGATTGGAAGCTATGAAGTATTAAGATTTAGTTCCAAGGTTGTAGATTTGTTATGTGTTGTAGTTAATTTTGATACTTTTGTACTAAAGTCGTGTCAGCATAATCAATAGAAATCTATTTTTCCAATGTGGTCCCTAAATAAGAACTAAGAACCCAAATCTATCTAAAGCCATTAGTGAAACCAGAAGTTGCTGAAGATACCTGTTTTGTTAAGACCATGAAGTGGCTAGAATCGTATGTGCCGTTGCTTCCTCTGGGATCCGAAGATGTGAAGATCAAATCTGAAACTGAGATACAAGTAAAACGATATCACTATTAAAGCCAATATTATTGAGTCAGATAGATTTGTCAAATATCCAATTGATTTACTTGATCAGTATTATCTGATGACATGTACTTCGATTCTTACCTAAAATGTAATGCCATGTTACTTTGCTTCTACAAGATTTGACAATTCTTGAGCAAAGAAGCTATGAAAAGTTCAGGATCTTTTCATGGAAATTATTTTTCTTTGTGACTGATCTATTAAGAAAGGTTCATAAACTACTAGTAACTACTAAGCCTCATGCATACAGTGAAGATCCGACATACAATTCATGGAAAGAGTTCATAAATGCAATCTGCTGGTCATTTCTTCAAATACTTCCAAAAATCAGTCACCACACTTGCATAAAATTGGAAAACATTAGAATCGAAATTGAAAGGGGGAAAGGGAAACAGACCATCTTCGTGAGGGAAGTGGTGACTACGTTCATCAATAATCCAATGCAGTGATCAGGACTCTGGCTATGACGATTTCTATCTCTGTCCGACTGTGACTATTTTCATGAGACTTGGGACAACAAAATTCCAGCTTCATAGTGTGTACTGTGTACACTCTCGCTAAATTGGATCGGGTTCTCTGGCCTGTAAAATCTACTCCAACATAAACAAGCAATGTCACAGAAAATGGCAAAACCCAATAGGTTCACAATGGTTCAGTGGAGACACAAAGCAGGTTCCACAGTTCAGTAGAGAAGCTACGTAATAATCCCCAAGTTTGCTAAACCACCAAGATTTGGATTCAAAATCATTAAATCCCCCTGAAAGACGTTCAAGAATATACTGAAAAGCATAGAAACTAGAAAACTGCTCTTCGGCAAATTATGTCCCTTCCAAATTTGTACAAACTAAATCTGAACTTGTGCATCAATCTGCACAGAAGAACGATCAGGAAAACGGCAAGAACAGCTGCAACAAGAGCTAAAGATTTTGGATTTTTACAGGTATCTGCACATATAGAGTTGCAAGGAATCTTGCAAGGAAAATATTCTTAGATTTATGGTGATGTTACAGGAGAAAAAGATTCAAAATCAAATCACAAAAATCCAAATTTAACTAAAGCAGAAAGTGTTTACATCTAAGGAAATGTTGGTAGAAAAAGAAGTTTTGGTTGCTAAGCTAAAACCAAGACTGATCACACAGATATATCATACAAATGAACTGATGCTAAATCAGTCTATTGTTTGTTTATGATGCTCCAGATACTGTTACATGTCTCGTAGGCTGTCATCTTATTCGTCTCGAATTGAAACTTTTCAATTACCCTCTTTTCACGATCTACCATATCTAATAGTTTTCGTGATCAAGGATTCAAACACTTAACGATGAAAGATTTTATGTTTAAAAAAATGAGATAATAGAGAAATGATGAAAGAACAGGATACAGCCTGAGATCTTTGATGGGCCATCAATGTCCGGTATAACTTTCGTGACAGAAGCATACATAGACAACTTTTTCCTGCAAGAGAAAAAGAGGGAACAATGAGAAAACATATGTAACGAACATTCAGAACAAGCAATTGCAACAATGAGATTTGTGGATCTTACTCAGCTCTCAAGCCGTCCCGCTCTTTTCTCATTGTAGATTGCTTATGTTCATCAATCGATATCAATTGAGCATTCAGCTCCTTGAGTTCATCAGCGACTACTGTATTGACAAATAAACCAAGATTTATTTTTCATGTAACTGAATCAACAACTAGAATAATTTCACTGAAATCAAACTATACTTATCTAAGCTCGTCCTTTAGCTTGCACTCCCGTTCCATCTCTTCGTCAAGCTCTTTCTGAAGACGTTCAATTTCATCTTCAGCCGCAACATCTGAATATGCTTCCTCAGTTTTCTTCTTACAAACATCGAGTTTCTTCTTACAATCTGCGTCCAAACCAAAAATTCCTCACTCAATCCAAACACCAAAAGATCTCCAGCTAAAGCAACATTGTTTATCTAATAAACTATCTGGACAACCAAATCGGAAAAAAAAAAACTGACCTTCAATAGAGCATTGTATCTGATTGAAATCCTCGTCGCAAGCGAAATTGAGAGCTTTAAACTGCTCAAAACTTTGAGATATCACATCAAACCCATTCCTAACATCCAATAAGTTGATCAAATCGTCTCCATAAGACATTAGATCTTCGATATCGAAATTCTCCGACGCATTTCCCATTTCTGTCTGATGCGGAAAATTGATAAATCCACTATCTGGCAGTAAAAGCCCTAGCTCCAGATTATCCACACCTCAAAACCCTCACCAAGGAGAGTCGTAGATTTCTGATACCAAGTAGTAGCAGGAGGGAGATATGAAGAGGAAAGATCTGAATTTTGATTTTTGATTTCTTTGATTCAAAATCAGTTTAATTTGATATACTTAACTGCTAAAATATACCTATAAAAAAAAACTGCTAAAATATATGGACGCCAATATGGGCCAAGCCCATTAGTTTTCACTTTCCCTAATGGGCTAACAAAATTTATGACCGTTAAAGCTCAGATTTAGGCTAAATCACTTTAGCGGTCTCTTCACTTCATCATAGTCCATTTTGTCCACTATTTTGTTTTTTTGTCGACTATATCTTGTGTCAAGTATTAATTATGCGATTACGTGAATATCATGAGAGTCATCTCCTCCACACAAATTCACTAATGGTTGGAGAACCCGACCACACAAATGGTCCAAAAAGACCTTGACTTTGAACATTTCGACTCTTTCGTCGTTGATACTTGATAGCATAAGAACATGTCCATACTTGAAACTTCCTTAAACTCAATGTTCTCTCTTACTTCATACAATCAAAGTCAAAAGCTCAAGATACTACTCAATGGGCATAGCAAGATCCATAACCTCGTTCATGTTCTTCCTCTTGGTATCATCAAACTCTGTTAACAATTCTGTTCTTGCTCAGGCCACGACAGCGAAATTCACATTCATAGGTTTCAAAGGAAACCAAACGGAAATTCAAACAGAAGGAGCTTCGACGATCCAACTCGACAATGATCTTCTGAGACTAACTAATCGGAACCAAAACGTCACTGGAACCGCGTTTTACCGCAAACCGATTAGATTGCGTGACTTCACCAATTCCTCCGATATCAAAGTCTGTTCCTTTAGCACTTCTTTCGTGTTCGTCATAATCCCTTCAAGTCCCGGAACCGGTGGTTTTGGTTTCACGTTCACACTTTCTCCGACCCCGAATCGTCCTGGAGCCGAATCTGCACAGTACTTGGGGCTTTTGAACAAAACCAACAACGGTGATCCATCGAATCACGTATTCGCTGTTGAATTCGACACGGTACAAGGATTTAAAGACGGCGCAGACAGAAGAGGAAACCACATCGGTCTTAATTTCAACAACCTCTCCTCCGATGTACAAGAGCCACTCATTTATTACGACACAGAGGATCGAAAAGAAGATTTTCAGCTCGAGAGCGGCGAACCAATCCGAGTTCTTGTCGATTACGACGGATCCAGCGAAACCTTAAACGTCACAATCTATCCGACGAGATTAGAGTTTAAACCCAAAAAGCCCCTGATCTCGCGGCGAGTTTCAGAGCTGTCGGAGATTGTGGAGGATGAAATGTACGTCGGATTCACCGCCGCGACTGGAAAAGACCAGTCGAGTGCTCACTATGTAATGGGTTGGAGTTTTTCAAGCTGTGGAGAAAATCCAATGGCGGATTGGCTCGATCCCTCGAAGCTTCCTCTTCCACCTCGCTTGAGTAACAAGAAAGGTTATGATTCTCAAGTCATTGCTTTGATTGTTGCTTTATCGATCGTCACATTGGTCTTGCTTGTGTTACTGTTTATATTTGTGATGTACAAAAGGCGAATCCAAGAAGAAGATATTCTAGAGGACTGGGAGATTGATTATCCTCATAGATTCAGATACAGAGATCTCTACTTAGCAACGAAGAAATTCAAAGAGAGTGAGATCATCGGTACCGGAGGATTTGGAATCGTTTACAGAGGAAATCTATCTTCCTCGGGTCCAATCGCAGTGAAGAAGATTACTTCAAATAGCTTACAAGGTGTTCGAGAATTTGTCGCAGAGATCGAGAGTTTAGGAAGATTAGGTCATAAGAACCTCGTGAATCTTCAAGGATGGTGCAAACACAAGAACGAGCTCTTGTTAATTTACGATTATATCCCCAACGGAAGCCTTGACGCGCTGCTGTACAAAACGCCGAGAAGAAACGGCGTTGTGTTGCCGTGGGACGTGCGTTTCGAGATCATAAAGGGAATCGCGTCGGGACTGTTGTATCTTCATGAAGAATGGGAACAAATTGTGGTTCATAGAGATGTGAAAGCGAGCAATGTTCTTATTGATGAAGATATGAACGCTAAATTAGGCGATTTTGGACTCGCTAGGCTTTACGAACGCGGAACCTTAACGCAGACCACGAAAGTCGTTGGGACTTTAGGGTACATGGCACCTGAGCTCACACGTAACGGTAAAGGCTCGACAGCGTCTGATGTTTTTGCGTTTGGCGTTTTATTGTTGGAAATAGTGTGTGGGAATAAACCAACGAACTCAGAGAACTTCTTCTTGGCTGATTGGGTAATGGAGTTTCACACTAATGGTGGAATCCTTAGCGCCGTGGATCAGAAACTCGGGTCTAGTTTTAATGGCAGAGAGGCTAAATTAGCTCTTATTGTGGGATTACTCTGTTGCCATCAGAAACCGACATATCGGCCATCGATGAGAATGGTGCTTAGATATCTGAATGGTGAAGAGAATGTTCCACAGATTGATGGAAATTGGGGATTTCCGGGTTCTTCAAGAGACGATCTTAAAACGAATGTGGTAAGTTATGTTTCGTCCGATAGAGCCTCGAGCTCGAATACTTTTTCGTCTTTCTCCGAGGTTTCTTCAAGCTCTATCGTTAGTGGTAGATAGTTTCATTCATAGCACTTTTAGCATAGCATTATTTTCTAGAAACAGAACATTTTGTATGTATTTACTATTTATGGTCCTGACTCTTGAATACTTTATTACCGTTGGATCATGGATGTAGCGCAATCTTAAATTCACATGCTTGAAAATTGTGTAAAAGTTCAACTAAAAGAAAGAACCGGAATGATGCCAAAAACGAACTAAAAATCTTATTTCTTTGAATCTAAAATTCAGATCTATGATATGTGTGTCGATTATGTCTTACTATGGTTCAGTGGAACCCATGTTACTAAGGGAACGATACAACTAGGGTTCATTGTTTTCAACTTTATTAGTGTACAATATTATTTTGGCACTACTAAAATTATACTCATGTGTTTATAAATTATAACATAAAATGCAAATAGCAAGCAAAATATCTTTTCTTGTTCCAATGCAAACAAAATACTATCTTTCTTCTTCCGTTTAGATTGCTTTTGTTGTTGTCTCGAGACTTTGATTGTTGACTTATAACAAATGTTAAAAAGACGACCAAATCCCTATATATGATTACTCGTTATGATAACTTTGATACAAACTGAGATTGACAGAAGATAAGACTAACAGGTCCGTTCCAGATTCTTTCCAAACGTAAGAGCTTGATTGGATCATTTTAAGCAATTTCAAGTGGAGAAAATAGAAAAATAGTATTGTGTTTGCCCAATTATTTCAATCAGCGATTCGAAATTATTATGATATGGGCTTGGTAGGTTGATGGTTTCACTTTCATACACACAACGACAAGTGAACTACGAATCTATGCCCCAGTTTGTGTCCAGGTTCACGATGGGCTGTCTATAATTAGAAACGTGTATTGAAAGAAAGCGTATAAAACATTCTCTAACTAAAAATATACTTGATCTTTCTAAATTGAACCCAAACCCATAAAACAGTCATTTAAGCCATGTAAATCTTTATAAATTTGGATTTTTAATTATAAAAATAGTCGCTTACAAAATATATTTTGAATGCTTATTTTTGTTTATATAATTTTGATCCCAATAAAAATCTGTTCTAGCTAATAGAATCGTGTATTAGACTATCACTATCCTACAAGTTAATTACGCCAAAATTAAACAAGTTAATTACGTCAATCAAAGTAAGGAAAATTATAAGAATAGCGTGACACTATGGTTTGGTTAATGTGCTTATTACTTGCTCATCTTATCTATGATTAGAAAATTTACTTAATATGTGGAGTTTTTAAGTATATTTTTCATGTATTTTAGTGAATCTCTTATTTAACTTAGTTAAGATAAGTACGTATTTTGATATTAAACTAGGATGATTAATTTTTTTAGACTATCCCAAAACAACGGACACGCTAGCTTCAGCTGATAATAATTTAATTTTGCTAATATAAATCAGCTAAGCCTTTTTGTAGAACAAGTATGCCATAAATTCATACACTCTATTTCTTCTCTCTCTATCTCTCACAGATCTCCGGCGACGTTTTAACGGCGGTGAAAAGATGCGGAGGTTAACGGCTATTAATTCACTACTGAAACGGAACAATCATCTTCTTCAGCGTCATGGCTTCTCTCAGACAGTAGCTCAGAGAACAACCTCCGTTTGCGAGACCGAAACAAAAATTCCGAAAATGCCCCCGTTCAGTTATTCTCCGCCGCCTTACGACGGTCCATCCACGGCAGAGATCATCGCAAAACGGCGAGAGTTCCTCAGCCCAGCTCTGTTTCACTTCTACAACACAGCCGTAAAACGACACCGCTTGTTCATTTCCCCTCTTTAAAACGACACTGTTTTTGTTTTCGATCGTAGTACGACAACGTTTAGTTACTCTGTTTTCTTTTTTACTGTTGATGACGACAACAGTTAAACATTGTGGAGGGAAAGAGGCAGTATGTGTTTGACGAGAATGGACGGCGATATTTAGATGCCTTCGGAGGAATAGCTACGGTTTCCTGCGGCCATAGCCACCCGGAAGTAGTTAACTCCGTCATCAAACAGTTAAAGCTTATTCAACACTCCACCACGCTTTACCTTAACCACACCATCTCCGATTTCGCTGAAGCTCTCGTCTCCACTCTTCCCGGAGATCTCAAGGTAAAACAAAAAAATTTATATATCTCCTTTTTGAATTGTGTAATAAATAAAGGTATTTTTGTATTAGGATTATTTGATGACTTGACCGGCAAGTCAAATGTCCCTGTGTTTATTATGTAGGTGGTGTTTTTCACGAATTCGGGTACGGAGGCGAATGAGCTTGCGATGATGATGGCTAGACTGTATACAGGATGTAACGACATCGTTTCGCTTAGGAACTCTTATCATGGAAACGCAGCTGCTACTATGGGAGCCACTGCTCAGTCCAACTGGAAATTTAACGTCGTTCAGGTTCTTTTCCCTTTCAATCCACATGATCTGATATAGCATAATTGATTTTTTTTTTAAGATCAAAATAGATGAGTAAAACAGTTAAGTTGTGTTGACCAAACAAAATTAAAATGGTTATAATGGAAGCAAAGTTCAATAGGACGTTTGAATCTATTAGATTTATAATTCTAAAGGGTTTGATAAGGCATCAACTTTGTAACAGAGTGGAGTTCATCACGCCATAAATCCAGATCCATACAGAGGAATATTTGGATCCGACGGTGGAAAGTACGCAAGTGATGTACATGACCTTATCCAATTCGGAACTTCCGGTCAAGTCGCCGGTTTCATTGGCGAATCAATCCAGGCGAGATTAATTTGTATTTTTTTCCAAAATGTGTATGATTATGATAATGGACAATTATGTAATGTAGTCTATATGCTGTAACAGGGAGTTGGAGGAATAGTAGAGCTTGCTCCGGGATACTTACCGGCGGTGTATAACATCGTGAGGAAAGCCGGAGGAGTTTGCATCGCCGATGAAGTCCAATCCGGTTTCGCTCGTACCGGTACCCATTTCTGGGGGTTTCAATCCCATGGTGTTATCCCTGACATCGTCACCATGGCCAAGGTTCATCGTTATCATTCACTATCATGATTTATGCATCATCATCACCATCAATTCTAAACTGAGTTTACAGGGGATCGGGAACGGTATACCACTTGGAGCGGTTGTGACGACACCGGAGATCGCCGGCGTTTTAAGCCGCCGGAATTACTTTAATACTTTCGGCGGAAACCCAATGTGCACGGCCGCAGGACATGCAGTACTAAGAGTCATTAACGAAGAGAAGCTCCAAGAGAATGCTAACCTCGTTGGCTCACATCTCAAACGTAGACTTACGCTACTCAAAAACAAACATGAACGTGAGTTCTTTCTTTGTCCAAATTAAACACAGTTTTTTAAAAATATATATTTAATGAATATCTTATATATCTTTTTCTCTAATGTGTTTAGTCATTGGAGACGTGAGAGGAAGAGGATTGATGCTAGGAGTTGAGTTTGTCAAAGACCGTGACTTAAAAACTCCTGCTAAAACTGAGACCCTTCATTTAATGGATCAAATGAAAGGTTAGTTGTGTTCAATCCTAGACCTAACCGATCAGACTCCAAAACAAAAAATCCGATAATCTGGTTACCAAACTTTATATATTTCTTCAAATTTAAACATTATAAACCAGCTAAAGGCTAAAGCCATAGTAGATTAGGTTACTATTTCTCTAAACCCAAAAAAAAAAACTGAGAAAAATGATCACTCATCCTATACTTATGGATATAAGATAATGTTTAATACGAATCTTTTGGTATCAAGAAATGGGAGTGTTGGTGGGGAAAGGTGGATTCTATGGGAACGTGTTCAGAATCACTCCTCCTCTCTGTTTCACCCTCTTCGACGCTGGTTAGCTCTTTTAGTTAACAACTTAACATATTGGTTTTTTTTTTTTTTTGTCATTCTGTTTTTTTTTTCCCATGATTTATGTTCTTTCAAATCTTGTATTTTGTAGATTTCCTCGTGGATGTGATGGATCACGCCATGTCCAAGATGTGATTTACTATATTTACCCGATCTCTCATGATCGTCCACCCTTGTACGTGTATATAAATAAGACGATGCAAAAAGTACAATTACAATCTTTCAATTGGTGTTTACGGTTTACCCAAATATATCATAGACGCAAGTTATGCAACTAAGTGTACAGTGTATATACTACACTTGATAGAACCTATTAATAAAAAAGTCTGCTGCTAACTATCCTGAATGGTATTGCACAAATATATACATATAACAATCCGAAGTTTGAGTTTTGAGTACAATTTCAATGATAAACCTGTGGGGCAAAGCGGTTGGTCATCAAAGGCGAGGTGATGGTAGTTGCGTCGGAGTAGGAAGGCGACGTCCGGAGAGCTGTCGTGATCGCGGAGACTAGACTCGTCAGCACGAATATAAGTTCTTCAAGTATGCTCAGGGTCTTTCTCATCATCGAATCTTCGTGTTTTCTCGATTCGAGATTCCGAAGTCAGAGAGAGAAAAAGAGGTGTGATCTTTTTCTGCTGACTTTAGATCTGGCCTTTGATAATGTTATTCAGACAAACAAACTGTTGGCTTGATGTTTGTGTCCATAATTGATTATATAATGGAATAATTGCAAAACCGCACCTGAAGTTTTGATTAACATGGAATTTAAACCCAATCTTTTTTTCCTACACCAGATTTAAAACTCAAAATAGTTTCTTTTTTTGTTACCTACTACAATAAACCCTAGATAAATTCCATGTGTTAATGATGTTGTTAGCGGTTTTAGAAGACCAAACATCGCAATTTAAGAGTAAAAAACCGTTGGAGTTTAGATTACACTAATTTAAACTTTGTAGTACAAAATTGATATATATATGATTAATGAGGGAAATTCGAATGGACAAATAGATTTATGAAGCGTGTGCCATGATGATCTCTTCATGTACCCGTTGTACAGAATCGCAGAGGTTACAAAAATAAAATTGTGTCGTTAAAAAAAATATATTTCGTAATTACAATCACAATAAGAGACCATGATAAAATTTGATTTTTAGAGTTTTTTATTTTCCTTAAATAAATATTTTAAAATTTTGGATTTATATCGTGATTAGAACAAGTTTTAAGTTGCATTTTAGTCTATCCGTTGATGGTGGTGTTCTTTGAAATTTTTCTCAATGATGCATACA